TCCTTGTAACCCTTAAAAATGGTTTTCTGCTTTGATGATTTATGATTTATTTAGCTTCATAGACAGGGGGAGAGATGAATGAATAATACATGCATCATTATCTGATACATTTTGGATTACTTAGACAAGACTAGCTGAGAGTTGCCCTCATTTACAGTTCCTCTGATTGTGCCTTGGTTGCCTCGATAAAAGGAGACCCTGTTGTTTGTCACTCAGCATTATAACAGCAAGGCTCTGAAATTAATACCTGCTTAGGAGGCTTGTGCTGGTTGGACTACGAAGAATACATTCATCCGAACGATTACAGTTTTGGATAACCCCTTTCCTCTGCTCCTATTTGCCAGCTTGATTTGGTTTTAAAGAGCTGGGCTCAAATGTATCTGACAATATGCTTCTGAGGAAATTTCTAGAATCTCTTCCCCCCCCACACACACACACCATTTTGTACTTCCTGAGAGAAGGAAGCAAGGCCACTTTTTGGATCCCTCTCCAAATATTCTGTGAAGATTTTGATGGTGATGCCATTCCTCTGCTCCCAAAGTGCCCCAATCCATGTTTGTTCTGCAACATATATTTTTTTTGAGAGAGAGAGAGTCATGAATTTGGACAAATGCCAAATTCTGAACTCAATTAGCCTGGTTTGTGCTGGGTCTGAACCAAACCTGAATAGCCAGGTTAGTTCTGGGGTGAAATGAAATTTCCATACTGATTTGTGGCTGGAGTACAAATCAAATTAGATGGGGCACAAATCATTCCAGCTATTTCATTATCTCTCCTGTCACCACACAAAAACACCTTTCTTGTAAGGGAAAGAAAATTTAAATGTGCCTAGTACAGTATACAAATCCCTGGAACTAGTTGTTTGAAATTTGGCAGGTTTGCTCTCCTCTTTAGAGCCCTTTATGTCATCCTATTTCATATATAATAATATGTGTCAATTCTGACTTACGGTGAGCTTTTTTCAGGGTTCCCTTGGTATACCAGGAGCTTTTTTCAGGGTTCCCTTGGTATACCCAGCAATAGTTTACCATTTCCTTCTTCTGGGGGTGCCCCGGGACTGTGCAGTTTGCCCAAGGTGACTCAGGCTAGTGTTAGTCCTACGATGCACAGTAGAGAATCAAAATCCAAACTTCTAATTAATTCACTCTTCTATCCATGTTGTTTAGTCGCTAAGTAGCATCCGACTCTTCATGACCCCATGGACCAGAGCATGCCAGGCCCTCCTGTCTTCCACTACCTCCCGGAGTTGAGTTAAATTCATGTTGGTAGCTTCAATGATACTGTCCAACCATCTCATCCTCTGTCATCCCCATCTCCTCTTGCCTTCACACTTTCCCAACATCAGGGTCTTTTCCAGAGAGTCTTCTCTTCTCATGAGATGGCCAAAGTATTGGAGCCTCAGCTTCAGGATCTGACCTTCCAGTGAGCACTCAGGACTGATTTCCTTCAAAATGGATAGGTTTGTTCTCTTTGTAGTCCAGGGGACTCTCAAGAGCCTCCTCCAACACCACAATTCAAAAGCACCAATTCTTCAGTGGCCAGATTTCTTTATGGTCCAGCTCTCACTTCCATACATCACAACAGGAAAAACCATAGCTTTGACTATGCGGACTTTTGTTAGCAAGGTGATGTCTCTGCTTTTTAAGATGCTGTCATGGTTTGTCATCGCTTTCCTCCCAAGAAGCAGGCGTCTTTTAATTTTGTGGCTGCTGTCACCATCTGCAGTGATCATGGACCCCAAGAAAGCAAAATCTGTCACTGCCTCCATATCTTCCCCTTCTATTTGCAGGAGCAGGAACTGGCAAATCACTCCAGTATCTTTGCCAAGAAAACCCCATGAACAGAAACAAAAGGCTAACCATGTACATCAGGGCAAACAAAAAAAAGTCATAACTGTTTTGATTTTCTCAAAACCCCATGAACAAAAACAAAAGGCTAACCATGTACATCAAAAAAATGTCATAACTGTTTTGATTTTCTGGTGCAAGGCAATGGGAGACTTGCAAATTGATTCAGGTCACAAATTGTACCAGGTGGGCACAAACTACTTTGGATTAAATTGGGATACATTCCAAAACTGAGATTTCACTCCCAAACTGGATTGAGAGATCTGTGCAGAGCCTTAATTCAATCAACCATCAGGCAACCCCCTTTGTCATATGTGGTGCATGATTTAAATTTGGCAGAAAGAACTAAAACCAATTCTCATATTTGGTATCTGGGGAAACGCACTATCTGACTAAAAAAACAGGACAGGCTGTTACAGGGCACAAAAATATTGGCTGGGCCTGATATAAGTCACATTATCTGGTCTTAAACTACTATTTTATTTTTGCAAGACTTCATGTGTGTGCTGATATGGACCACAAAGACATCACATAGTTATTTGCTAGAGGCAGGAGTAATTAGAGCACGGTGTCAACATTCAAGCTGCCCTTTGCTATGTAAAGCTTGGCATCCTTTTTCCTGCTGGCAACATGGGCACGATATTGGGCAGCAATATTGGGCCATTTCCTGGCTCTTGCAATTGTGAACACAGAAGGACAATACCCCATATTCATAAACCGGAGGTTTTTTGAAGAATTGAATTAGTTCAAATAAAGGTTTCCCCTAGAAATGGAGGCCTCCTTAATGATGGTCTCTGAAAATGTAATTTCCCCTGGTTTACATTTTCCAGGGTTTAGAGAATAACAATGCTGTTAACATCATGCTTTTATGTTCCTGATACATATCATCTAATAACAGTGTTCTTTGGGCAAAGAATGGACTATATGAGATGGTAGACCGATTCAGACTGTTTCATTTCTTTTAGCTTTATTAGTTTTCAGATAACCTCCAAAATGAAGCTTGCCATGTAAATATATTAACTGTCTTGTCAGGTGCAAAATGTGGTTCTGTACTTGTGTTTTCAAAAACTGATCAACTGAGTTGGGTACTGCATGCAGCATTTTATCGAAACTGAACCAACTGAGTGTAATGGGAAGTGGAGCTTGTCAGTTAGCCACCCACTTGCAGGACTGCTCTTTCTGCTTCCAGCCATCAAATCCCATCTACAGAAGTGTCCCTGCTGGCTGGGAGAGTCTAAGAGGTGGAGGCCAAGAAGTCCCCCACCCACCCAGTTTAGGCTTTTCCAACGCATTTCATTGTGCCTCTTATCTTCTGCATTCAAGATTCAGTTTTCCTACCTGGAAATGTATTTTGCCAGGCTCACATTAGCTATTGCTGAGAACTGAAAGAATTCCATCCAAACCATTCTTCTTGTATTTCATTGGTGTGCTGTGGGAGGGGGAAAAAGACTGAGGAAAAGTTGACGACATGGTGGAAGATCCATAATTTTATCTTCTGCAAGGGTGCCCGCCCCCCTCCCATCCTTTAAGGTCAAAATCAACTAGAAGAAGATTAAACTGCCTTTGAGTTGCGATGCTGAAGGAAATGATTCTGAGAAGGGATATGTACTGGAATAGGACCAATCCCAAACCCCAAACCAGCTTCACCTGGTTCATACCCCTCCCTCCATGATAATTTCTTGTTCTTCTTTTTTCTCCAACGATCTACTGGCCCTGCAGAGAAAAAATATAGCTCAGTTGATTAGATACGTGGCTGTTGAGCCACAGGTCGGGAGTTTGATTCCCTACTGTGTTTCCCAGGAGAAGAGACAGCTTATGTAGCCTTGGGCAAGCTGCATAGCCCCAGGGTGCCCCCCCCCCAAAAGATGGAAATGGTACAATGACTTCTGAGTGCTTTATACCTAGAAACCCCTGGAAGAGTCACAATAAGACTGTACTCAATGACACATAAATTTTATTATTATTATTACCATCACAGCTTCCTCTTCCCCTTTCGTCTTGGGACTTCGTCAAAAATCTCCCCTATACCTGAATGTGCTTTCAAACTGTAGTTCTAAAGTGTGATTCTGTCCCTTTGGTCTCAAAAGTAGCTTCTGTGCATTTTTTATTCACTCATTCACTATTGCTAGCTTTTTCAAACCCAGTAAAATGTGGAGTAATTGTGTATCTCATTCTTCAGATTAGCGTTGCATTGGTTTTACAGCAAAACTGGAGGAAAGAGAACAAACAGAATAGTCATGAGAGGAAAAGTAGCTACAAGATTTGTAGTTAATTTGAAAAACTCCCTTTGGTATACCTTTCCAGTCCACAGGAGAACTGGAAGTGCAGAAGACCTTTTAAGGACATTAGACCATGATTGCAGTCTATTAATCCATCTAATTTAGACTGATTCAACTGCATTTGGTAGTGGATTTTCATCTATACAGATATGATCAGCCAGAGTTAAATTTGAACTAAGTGCTATGATGTTCCTGTGTATGCATCTCAGAGTTAAAAATAAGAAACCCTATAATTGCTTCCAACCAAGCAATCAGTAGTGATCAAGAAACCTGTTTGGTGCTTGCTATCACTGTGAAAAGCTAATATGCCTCATTTTATCTAACATTTGATGCCTTTCATGATTCACTATGATACAGGAACACTTTGCTTCCTTATCTTATCTTGGCGTTAATCTAGTCCATGTTTATTGAGATCAAACATCTTGTTCTATCTAGGACAAAGACATGGGATCCCCCAGATATTTTCACTGGTAATTCCCACCATCCCAACCCAATATGGCCAATAGTAAGAAATTATGGGAACTGCAGTCCCACAAAAGCAGGAGCACAAAATCCAAAGGTTTCCTATTGGGAATAGACATTGATGGCAAGAGAAACATGCTCTCCTGTAAAATATGTTCATCTCTGCTACCATAAATGATTTTAATACAAACTTCTATTTCTACCCATAGTTCTTCTATCTACTTTGTGAGTTCTCTCAGCTGTTAGATGTGAAATTTTATTATAATACGTATTTTAATAATGTATATGAATTGTCACTTATTATGGCCCTTTATCATATGCATTTGTAGCAGAGCTTACCAAAAAGTAGAAGAAGGAGAATGTGAATGCAATTTGTATACTGTTTAATCAACAGTGATCTTTTGTTTCACAGAACCATTAGATGAACTGAAGATCAGGAGCCACAGCACTGAACCACTACCAAAGCTGGAAAACAAAGAAAGAGGAGGTCATCATGGGCCATCTTCGTCCAGAGAGCCAATAAAAGCTCAGGAATGGGATGGGACACCAGGACCCCCACTTGTGTCTAGTAGACTTGGAAGGTCTTCTGTTAGTCCAACTATGTTGGCAGGAAATAATAGCTCGGGTAAGTGGAAATGCAAAAGAACCAGATAAATGGATTATCACAAATTACAGCTAAAAGTATCTTTCCACATCCACCCAGACAGTATGTTACTCCAAAAATTAATCATTCTGAAATCTGAAAATTCTATGCCGTAAGTCATCTAGCACAATACAGAATCTTTAGCAACAGCTAGGGATGTAGATCACAATACAGAATCTTTAGCAGCAGCTAGGGATGTAGTTTGTTACTGCATGCTGTACAAGAACTCTCACACACAAACACAAATGCAGAAATTTGTTTGCTGCAAGATTGTGAGGATCTTTGATTATCAAAGATCAAATTTGTTCATTTGTGAGATATATTTGTGTGCATTTCTGAAAAAAAACACCTAGAATAACCATTTGCCTTGGTGCACGAATTATTAAAAGTAAAAGCAATTGATAGGTTGCTTCCATCTTTGTAACATTCAGCCTGCCCTTGTGGGCTTATTCTGGGTATGACTTACACCACAAAATTAACAGAAGCTAGAGGCATTTTGTGTGAATGTGCAATTTTAAAAAATCTGGATATGAGAAATCTCACAGGACCTTGAAATTCCTTTCTGAGTTGTCTCATTGTGTAGAGATTGCTTGCCCCATCAAGAAACAAGGCATTCGTGTGCATTCATGAAGGCTTTCACGGCCGGGATCTAATGGTGGTTGTGGGGTTTTCGGGCTCTTTGGCTGTGTTCTGAAGGTTGTTCTTCCTAACGTTTCACCAGTCTCTGTGGCGGGCATCTTCAGAGGACAGCACTCTGTGCTCATGAAGAAGCTGGCCACAGAGACTCGCAAAATGTTAGGAAGAACAACCTTCAGAACACGACCAGAGAACCCAAAAAACCCACAACAACATTAGTGTGTGTTTTACACACCAAAATTGCAAGCGAAGAACAACCTTCAGAACACAGCCAGAAAGTCCGAAAAAAAAAAACCCACAACAAGCATTAGTGTGTATTTTACACACCAAAACTGAAAGCAAAAAAAATCAAGGTAAATCTCTCCCTCTAGGTCACCTTTTGGAAGTCTCATAAGAGGATGCATCCCAAACATTTAGATACACGTCTCTATAATTTTTGTTCAACGTTATGTTCCTCTTCTCAGTAATTTGTCATATCTGGCAGGAAAATTGTCTTTGCTGCTTGTGGTGGAAAGGCTGAACCCTGCTGGCAGCCAAGCTGAGACTTCTTAGTACTCTGCAAGGATTTAATCTTAAAGGAGATCTTTACTAAGCTGGTATAACTAATTGAGCTGCTTTAAAGTAGTGTGAAGCAGAAAAAAAATATTCTTACAATATTTCTTTCTTTACATCTTAGTATTAATACTAGTTTTAAGCACATGTGTGTTCTGCATTTGTGGGATGTTTGTAACCTGATGCTGATTAATTACCAGAATACATATACCTAATCTTGATTGATATAGCAGAGAAATTTGTTATCAAATCATCTCTTTAGGACAGAGGTAGAGGTGAGCAATAACAAGACTGCTACTTGATATTGCTCTTTTAAATGCCTGAATGCCAGACTTACTTGTCTTAGTGTAAACATGCAGTTTCAATTATCCATGTGCCTTAATTAGGTGAATCCCCCTCATTGTCACTGGAGGACAAGCCTTTCTAAGCATACTATATCTGCGGACTGTGTGCACAACTGGGTTTGATTCAGAGATACTGCACATACGCAAAGCCATGCCTTTTCTCCACATAGTCTGATATGTTGATACATCATCATATAGGGGAACGTCTATATGAAGAAAGCTCTTGTGATTTTGCTGATTGGGAGTATGGGGAAAAAGTATAGCAATGATCATATACATGTGTCAGCATACTGCCTGCTTCACACCAACTTCTCTCTCTATTTCTCTCTCTCTCTGTTTATCTATCCATGTATCTACCTGTCTCTCTAATTTATATACCTCTCTACCAGCAAATGTCCTTGGGGTACTGATTTTGTATGAATTTATTATTTTTCAATTAATCACTTTCCAGTCAATAAAATGACACCAGGAGTAATTGAAGCAATAATACAAATGTTACCAAAATTAAAATATTAAGATACATACTAAAAATGCTCACAAGTAATGAGAGCAACAACAGGGCCTCAGCCTTGCATCTGAATGTCCTTGCCAAGTAGATTGCCCTGGGGAGGGCATTCCATGAGTGTGGTGACCATACAGAAAAGAATGTGCCCTGGGAGCTTGGTAAACACCCATCAAATACTTATGGCTGGTGGCACTGGCTATGCTGGGTGGGGAATTCAAAGATTTTCCTAAGCTCTGCAGCTTTTGAACAGTGACAATTAGGCAGCTGTAGTGACAGCAATGCTTTGGAGGAGAAGGAGAGAGGTATTTCCTTCTTCTGCCTTCCCTATGTGATCTTAGCATGCAAAGTTTTGATAATGCCCTTGTAGACAGCTCTCTTTTCCTCTTCCCCTTTTGTGTTGCTGTCTGAGGTGGTTGCCTATTTAAAGAGAAAAGGAAGAACTTGTGTATGAACCAGTGTAGATTATTGGACAGACTACCAAATCTGGGGGAAAGTACTGTAACTGTGTTCAACTCCCTACTCAAGTATGATCAATGTTCCCTCTAATTCTCTGCAGCTCTGCATGGAAGCTCTGCCCCTATGTGCAGAGTCCCAGCCACAAACGGAAGCAAATGGGCCAATACAATTGCTTGGCTGCATGCCCCTGATGGAGTGGTGTGCTCCGGTGCACCCACACAGCATGAAGGGAATGTTGAGGATGATGTTACTGAGGGACCTTGGTTCAGTTTAATCTTTAAAGTTAAATGTTGGAAATGGTGAAGAGAACCAAGTGTGTTGCCCTGAATACTTCAGAGGAATAGCTGAGTGCAAAATGCAGGCTGTTATAGTGTATGAATTCTCATTTATTATTGCTAAGGCCAAATTACTAGATATTAAAGTTAGGACTTCATAAGTGAGACTTCCTGTCATGTTGATTTTTCTCACCTTTCATATAGGATCAGTTAGCTTGCTTTGTCTTGGGATTGGTCAGTGGAAAGGAAATATGGGCTAAATTCACAAGGGTAATTGTTCAAGTAACACAGCTTTTGGGGAATCCCACCATCAGAGAGCCAAAGGCCAATGCCTTGTGTACTTTGACTTTAAATTTATGATGGAAGGTTCAAGAGAAAGTTAGATGGTACACAAGCCAAGGCAGTCTGCACTAAAGCTCCACCAAAGCTATCCCACTTAGACCAGTGGTCCATGGTCTAAGTGGGATAGTTGCACCTTATCCCACCATTGAAGGATAGGACCCATTATTTGCTTGGCTTGTGAGCTAATGATGATAAGTACAAGTCAACCCATAGCTTGTCATCTGGGTGGGGGAAGGCTCAGAGAGCCATTTCAGGCTAGGCCATCCATCCAGGACCAATCCAATCATCTATGTTAATGAGAGAACAATGACATGTGACTGTGCCTCTTAGCTGTCCCTCAGATCAATTGGTCTGTTTGAACATTCTGTAGGATACAACAAACAATAGTTGACAAGTACCACCACTTTCCCTGAGCAAAAATAAATGCTTTGCATTGGAGAAATGGTCGTTTAAAGTGGAATATAATTTTTTACTTTCACAAAGGTGAAAGGGCCTTTTGTTAAAAGCTATGTTTCCTGCAAGGGACACAAGGGTTAAAGTTTTCTTCAGTGCAAAATGAGTTTGAGTTTGCATTTTGAGCTCCTCCTGTGGTTTGAATACCACCATTCCATGGGTAGGGTAACTAGACAGAGAAGGTTGCCTCCCTGATAGCCTGATAGCCATTCAGCAAATGATTATGAGTGGTGGCACTGGACATACTGGCTCAGTGCTTCTGGGAGCTACAGATGAAAGGAACTTTCATGTAGCCTTTAAACAATGTCACCTGTGCAGCTGTAGTAATAATAGTTGGCTGGTCCACTGGGACCTATGGGAGATTCTAAAGTTGGATCATATTGAACAAAGCTGAGGAAATCTGCAGACTTTCCTCTTACACCAAGGGCCTAAGAGCACAACAGAAATTGGGTGCCTTAGGAAAAAAAGGAACAATATAGGGAAGACAAAATGCCTGCTGTGTTGAACCCACTTCTTTTGTTTATTATATAGTGCTACTCCTGTGCTGGTCCCAGAACACCAGAGACAAAATAGGTAAGATGATGCATCTTGCTAAAGTGATTTCTACCTAAATTAGAAGACTGAAAGCTTACACACACTCACCAATGAAACTGGCCCAGCCACAGGTAAGTCTATTTCTTACATTGTGTGTCAGTTCTATTGCTGAGTGTGTATAAGCTCCCCTGCTTTCTGTGACCTTTCTCAGAGAGGATGGCCCACCAGGGGAAATGGTGGCTAGAAAGCTTCCCCTTAGCGGCAAATCCAATATACTACCATTCAACCCAATCTATTCAACCCCCATCTCCTGTTGGTTCAGTTAGAATGTTAAATGTTAATGAATTGCACTGCTTTGTCATTGCTAAAGAGAAAAAATAGAACACCATCAGAATTATTTAGCCTTTCCTACTGCTGACTTTGCCTTTCCCTCCACTGGCTCCTCGGCCATAGCTGGTCCAAATGTGCACCAACTCCATCTGCCCCCTTCTAAGGGGCTTCTATTCAAACAGAATGCAAAACAAATGGATTCCTAATTTGCACTTCACAACAGCAAAAAAAAAAAGGCTGGAGTTTTGATATCAGTAGGACCACCAGCCAACATATGGCGTTGCTAGCTTTCAGTCACTCCAAGTGTGCATGACTCCAGGCTGAAATGTGGTGGAATAATATAACATAGAGATTAGGGTAGAAGGTTCCTCTGAATCAAGGGGTGTTATCCAGATAAAGGCCTCTTCATATGCATTCAGTGTATGCTGAGTGCATATGAAGAAAGTGACCATAGTTTTTTATCATCTACATTTATCAGCATGGCTTGGATTCAGAAACCATGAGATAAAATGGAATAAAGCTGGCACGCAAAGACATCATTAGACTGCCCATAATTTCTCTTTGATAAGCCTGAAACAAGACCCCCACCCCTTGATCATGCAAGTCAGTCAAGTTGTAAAGGCAAGGTATAATCAACTATGATACACTGAGTATTTCTCATTGTATATGTACTGTGTGTCTGTGTACGTGCATGTGTGTGTGTGCATGTGTGCACTTTCCCCATTTATTTACTTATTTATTGTGTCCTAGAAGAAGCATGATGGAAAAATGGTTCTTGGAGCTAGCCTTCCCCACTTCTTTTGTCATAACGACAAATCCCAGTGGTTCTTCTCACGTAGGCTGAGCCTCCCTCCTATAAAGGCTTGTGTCTCATGTTTTCTACAATGAAAGAGCCAAAGGTGCAGGAGGTAAAGGACAACTGTATACCTGCAGACATACTATGCATTAGACAGAGTGGGGCAATTTCCTCAGGCTGCAGATTCTGGAGGCAGGCAGCAGGAGCCCCAAGCTGCCACATGCACTGTGCTACAACCTCTACACCAGAGCTTGGATTACAGCTTCCCAAGTTCCTCAGTAGCCATGATAGCTAGAGGATTCTGGGAGTTGTAGCCCAAAGTAACTTTTCCAAGCTGTGTTCTAAGCTGGCATGCTGCCTTCCATTGTGTTGGAGGATGCTCTCCCTCTGTGAGTCTTGAAATAGGATCGAACTTCCTGGGCAGCTGGATTTTGCAGATAGAATGTAGGGGGGAGGGCACCATCTTGGCTTATGCCTCAGGCTGCCAAACGGCCTGGCTCTGTATGCTCAGCACACATGAGGGATGTGCCCTAGACTCTTAGTCTAGGGCTTCTGGTACAAACCAGAGGGGCACAAAAGAGCTCTTAGGAAAACAGTCCTCCAAAAGAAAAAAAGAAAAAAAAAGCAAAGCAGTAGACTGGAATTTTGGATGCCAGCTCAGTTATCTCTGTGCAGTTCCTCCTGCCTGCTGGGTGAATGGATGGTGGGGACTCTGCAGCTAAGCAATCTAGCAACTTGGCAATACTCAGCGGGTGACAGTGTAGCACAGTGGGACCCAGGGTATTCACAGAGGTCCTCTTGTAATCTTCAGCATGAGGAAATGGGGGGCAGATGAGCATATACCTCCATTGTGAAGCACAGCTGTTCTTTCTGACAGCAATTGGATTCAATTCACCTGATCCTTCTGTTCTTGAATCCACTTCTGAAACTGAGTACTGCCATTCAATTAGGCTCAATTGCTCCCAGTATATATTACTACAACCTACACCATGCTGGGACTGCTGACTTTTAAAGGAAGTCATTTCGCCTCTGCTTTGGTAAATACTAAGGTGACCTTGGACACTGTGTGCATTACTCAGCTTCCAAGCTTTCCATGGCATTTCCTTATCTTTTGGATAATTTCTCGAGAGATGTTTCTTCCCCAGTGGGTTCCTAGCCTCTCCCACCAGAGGGCTTTTCAGAGGAATAGCTGTCAGTGGTTTTAACACACAGCATCCTTGAAAACATGCCACTGCTGC